TCGACGCCGTCCGCTCAGTCGTGTTTATGCGGCGGCTTCGTCTTCCTGCCGCCGCCGCCGCCGCCCTCCGCCTCGTCGCCGGCGTCTGTCGGCTTCGTGTTGAGTTTCCCGCTCTGCTCTGGACGCCGCTGCTGTTGGTCAGAAGATAAAGATTCAGTCAGAGATGGTCGACTGGACAGAGGGACGGTCTGGGAGGAGGAGGAGGAGACGGAAGACACATGTTTGGTATTCTGAATTTTTTTAAAAATGTAAAAATAAAATTAAAATAGCCATTTTATGTTACACACTTTATATTTATAAATAAATTAATAAATAAAAAAATGTACATTTCAAATGTAAAATAACAACAAACACCAGTACATGTGACTAATTTCCATGTTTTAAAAATCAATACCAAGACTTAAAATAAATTAAAACAAATATTCACTAAATGCTGCCGGGATGCAAATATACATGTTTGTTTTTGTGATTGCTGAAAAAAATTAAATTTAACCGAAAATTTTCTGTATTTTTAGAACATAGGAGCATATTTTAATTTAATTGTATTTTTTTAAATTCAAGAATTACATGTTAAATGTAAATCAACACCAAACATGTATCTGTGAATACTGATAAAATTTACATTAAAAAAAAATTAAAATAACAAAATGTATTTTTTCGACATCAAGACTTAAAATAAACATGTAATTTTTATTTAATAGACATTTCTTGTATAAGCTGTTAGATTCTGCTCTACAGCACACATATGATGGTAAACTATGGAGGAAACGCTGCTGAATGCTGCTGGGATACGAAAGAACAAAGATTTATTAGATTTTTTAAAATAAGATATTGATTTTTTAAAAATGAAGATTAACTTTGTGTTAATTTTCATGTTTTCCATTAAATCTGACATTTTTTTTTAAATACAGGAAAATATTTTTAAACAATATAAAATATAAAATAAACACTCAGAACTGTAAATAACTTCAACATTTTCTCTCTCTCTCTTTTAAAAAAAAAAATAATTTAGTTATTTTTCCACATAAAGAGTTAGAAATAAATTCACAAACCCTGTCATAATTTATGAACATTTGCTTTTATATTCAGCAGATGTTCATTAATAAACAGGTAAACTCAGTCGACTCGTCTGTGGGACTCTAAACAGAAAAAGAAAAAGCTCTTAAAAGCTACTGGGACACAGAAAGAAGACAAACACAATGCTTTATCTTCGACTTTCTTACTCAAACAGAAAACCGTCGAACAGCCAGGTGTCAAGAAACCGACTTTACAAAGTTCACACGATCCAGGTTTGTGTTTACAGACTCCTGCTAATTTCATCGCAGCGTTTCTTTGCCATTGTGAATAGTTTAACTAGATTTGGGCCAACGAACTCTATCTATCTATCTATCTATCTATCTATCTATCTATCTATCTATCTATCTATCTATCTATCTATCTATCTATCTATCTATCCATCTATCCATCTATCCATCTATCTATCTATCCATCTATCCATCTATCTATCTATCTATCTATCTATCCATCTATCCATCTATCTATTCTCAGAGCAAAGCGTCTGTTCTGTGTTTAGCGACGCCTGCAGGCTGCTCACACATTACTGAGGTCCAGACCACCTGAACCCTGGATCACCTGGAAGCAGAACAAACAGGAAGCGTTCATCCCTCATGGGAGCAGAGAGGAAACCTGACATGAACATGCAGCATGTGAGTGTGATTATAAAGCCTGAGTCATCTGAACCCTCTCCTCCGTCTGCAGGAGGACCTGAGCTCCTACTTCCTGCACTCTGGTGGCTCCTCGCCAGCCTCACTTCCCGCCCACCTGGAAGCGCTTTGGGATTCTCTTTTCTTTCTCTTCCTTCAGTGTAGATCTTATTTATCACCAGCAAAAACCCCCTTAAGGCCAGCCACAAGTTTCTGTGCAAAGGACGGCTTTTATTTTGGAGAAGCAGCAGCAGCAGGTTTACGGATCACGTTTCTGACCTTCATGTGTTTAGTTCTGCAGGTTTGACTTTATTATGATGCTTTTATTTCACACTCAAACAGCAGAGGACAGGAAGTGGTCCCTCTGCGGTTATTCTCACAATCTGAATAAACAAACAAACTAAAAANAAGTCATAGAGTTTAAAGGCAACGCTAGCAGATACTGAGTTTGGTTTCACTTTTGGATTTCTTGGGTTTTTGTTGGTATTAACTTTACAGAAGGTCGTGTTTTGTGGAGGAAACTTCACCTGTTGGTTGGTTGTATTTGAAAATGGGTTCTTTTTAAAGAAACAAAGCCGAACCGTTCTTGAAAAGCGACATCATCACAAGCGGCGAAAATGAAGACGACGCGCAGAAACCCCACGCTGTCGCTTCCATCGAACCCCCGAGCGTCTGATGGCGACTCGTTTTGTCTCCTCCTCGACCTGGAGGACGATGAAACAGAGCACCTGTCGTCTGGGATTTTCTCGGCAACGACCCCCGAATGTGGCGCGAATCCGACGCCGTGACTGCAAAGCTGCTTGAAGTGGAGCTCAGGAAGGAGGACGGTTTCCGCCCGGCGTTGAGCGATGCGCCTCCGGATGGGGAAGTCGAGGGAACGACGCCGGCTTCTCCTTGTTTACTGTCTTTCTTTGTGTGACAGCCGGGCCGTCGTTTCTGAGCATCTACTTACCTGTTTATGGTGCGTCTGCTCAGAAACCCTCCTGAGAACTCCGGTTAGTTCTGTTTCCTCCACTTGTTTTTTTTATTTCCTCCCCTCCCTTCTGCTGTACGTTCACGGAGCGAAGCCGATCAGCCTCGGCACAAGTTTGGAATTTTAACTCGCCTTCGATGCAGCTGATTGAACCTCGACTTCGAAACCTTTGGATTTCTGACGACGGTTTTATTTTAGTGTAGAATCTCTGTTCATGTGTTCTGTGGTTTGGTCTCCATGACGTCCAACAGTCTGATAAACATGGACACTGGAGACGTTAGCTGATCAAAAAGCTGCACACAGGTGATCATTTTCTGTATTTTTATATTTTTGTATCGCGAACAGTTCAACATTTTTCTCTTTTGGACTGTTTGTCAGACCAAACGTGACACTAGCTTGGACTGGCATTAATTTATTTTACAGTTTTGTGTAACTAGTGCAGAAATTTGAGTGTAAAATATGACGTTGATGCATCATTATTATGTCAATATAACAAAAATAATGTTTGAAACTTGGAATATTTTGTCTAAATCAGTAAATTAGATTTGTCCTGCAGTCATGTGTTTAGTTAATTGGTAGAAACAGATCCTGTAAATGACTTTTTATAGTGCACTTTCCCCCAAAAACACACAAAAAAACCCCAAAACAAAACAAAAGCCCGTTTATGAGTCATGACAACAAACTGAAGGAATTAGCTTTTGCTCTTCAAAGTAGTTTTTCCTTCAACAGTATGTTTAATTACCAGCGTTAACTCGTTTTAAAGCCCATTTCATGAACTTAATTAACATTAATAATAATGTATTTTAGCTTTAAATCGATTAATGCTGAAATTTGAATCTAATTTACACACAATATGAAGTTGATGCAACGTAAATATGTCAAGATAACAAAAATCTAACGGTTTATCTACGTCAGAAAACTAGATTCTTTTTTATTTTTCCAATCCTGCACTCATGTATTTAGTTAACTGGTAGAAACAGATCCTGTAAATGACTTTGTAGCTCCCAAAAATAAAGAAAACTAAAACGAAACCCTTCAAGAACATAGTTATTTTAAAAAATGAAGTTATGTTCTACCAACAAACTGGAGGAATTTTCCTCTTACAAGTATTTTTTCCTTTAACAATATGTTCAATTACCAGTTTTAACTTGTTCTAAAGCCCATTTCATGAACGTAATTAACATTAATTTATCTTTAAATCAGTTATGGTAAAATTTGAATCTAAACACATTATGAAGTTAATTCAACACAACTTGTTAAAATAACGTTTGCAGCCTCTAACATTTGGTCTAAATCAGTAAATCAGATTTTTAAAGTCCTGCAGTGAAGCGTTCAGCCAAACGCTGTGAAAACGTTCTTTATCTGTTCACACGGCGACGTCAACATCTGGTCATAATTCAGTAGCTTCATAAAACATGAGGTGAATAAATTCTGGTAAAAAGTCCAAACCGGGTTCTTATCCCAGACGTTCTCGTCCAGGCGGCGCTGAAATGACACAAAACGCTTCGTTTCCCACAAATAACCTTTTTTTTAATTATTATTATTCTTCTTCACACATTTACTGAAAATTACAGTTTGTTTGTTCTTTTATTGAAAGGACACAGAAAGGTCAGAGAACACAGAAACACGTCGCTGGGAGTTACTACTCAGTGCATGGCACGTTCTCGGGGACACGACCCATTGTGAGTCTTTGGCTCTTCGCCTCTCGAGTGTTAAAGGCGGCAAGAGTGCTGAAGTATTAAACGTTGAACAGTTGGCCAGCCAACTTTGGAGCCTCTATGGTTCAAAATGTGGAGGAGGAGTAAATTAACCTGGCTACGATGAGTGACAAACAATAGTCTAAGGTTGGGTAGTAGCAGTAGTAGCAGTAGCAGGACTTTAAATCAGTCAATTGGATTTACTCATCACAGGATACAGTGTCAGACCTCACCAGTGCAAAGGGACTCGTTGTGTTGTGGTTGTTTTTTTTAGTTTTTTCTTTTTTAACTAGAAAGATCACACATTTAAAAGCAGTGTCCTCACTCGGAATAAAACTCAGATAAGTAAACAACAGAATGAACAATCATGGAACGAGTGCCGCCGCCGCCGCCGCCGTTCGCTACCTCAAAAGAATTTCTAAACGCATGCCGGTTTGTTTTTTTTGTGTTTTTTTTGTTTTTTTGTTTTTTACTATGGAGGATTTTTCAGATGACAATTCTCAGCTCGGTGTGTGTTTGACAGTGTGAGTGTTTGTTTGTTGTTGTTGTTGTTGTTGTTGTTGTTGTGAGGGTGTGTGTGCTCTTCAGAAGGACGCTCCAGGTGATGCATCCGTCGACGCCGTCCGCTCAGTCGTGTTTATGCGGCGGCTTCGTCTTCCTGCCGCCGCCGCCGCCGCCCTCCGCCTCGTCGCCGGCGTCTGTCGGCTTCGTGTTGAGTTTCCCGCTCTGCTCTGGACGCCGCTGCTGTTTGGGGTCAGAAGATAAAGATTCAGTCAGAGATGGTCGACTGGAGAGAGGGACGGTCTGGGAGGAGGAAGAGGAGGAGCCTAAAGAGACATGTTTGGTATTCTGAGGTTTAAAAAAACATTTAAATAAAAATTAAATTAAAATTAAAATAGCCATTTTATCTTGCACACTTTATATTTATAAATAAATTAATAAATTTAAAAAAATGTACATGTCAAATGTAAAATAACAACAAACACCAGAACATGTGACCAATTTCCATGTTTTAAAAATCAATACCAAGACTTAAAATAAATTAAAACAAATATTCACTAAATGCTGCCGGGATGCAAAGAAACATGTTTGTTATTCTGACTGCTTAAAGAAAAAGAAAGTAATTTAACCAAAAATGTACATTTTATCTTGCAGACTGTTTTCTGTGTTTTTGAAACATGGGAGAATGTTTTAAAAAATAATGTAAAAAAAAAAAAAAAAGAATTTACATACAAAATGTAAAATAACACCAAACACCTGCACCCGTTTAAAAGATGAATAAAAATAAATAAATTTGATTTTTTTTTCTATATCAAGACTTTGAATAAATTAAAACAAATAAAATAAATATTCCATAAATGCTGCTGGGATGCAAATGAACATGTTTGTTATTCTGATTGTTTAAAAAAAATTAATTTAACCGAAAATTTATATTTCATCTAACAAATGTTTTCTGTATTTTTAGAACATAGGAGAATATTTTGATTTTATTTATTTATTTATTTAAATTCAAGAATTACATGTTAAATGTAAATTAACACCAAACATGTAACTGTGAATACTGATAAAATTTACATAAAAAAAAATAAAAAATAATAAAATGTATTTTTTCGATACCAAGACTTAAAATAAACATTTAATTTCTATTTAATAAACATTTCTTGTATAAGCTGTTAGATTCTGCTCTACAGCAGACATATGATGGTAAATTATGGAGGAAACGTTGCTGAATGCTGCTGGGATACGAAACAACGAAGATTTATTAGTTTTTTTCAAATAAGATTTTATTGATTTAAAAAAATGAAGTTTAACTTTGTGTTAATTTTAGTGTTTTCCATTAAATCTGACTTTTTTTTTTTTAAATACAGGAAAATATTTTTAAATGATATAAAATATAAAATAACAAACACTGTGAATAATTTCGACATTTCCTTTTTTTTTTTTTTTTTTT